CGGGCGGCCGGCGGCATTGGCGACGGGCGGCCGCCAGTGGAGAAGAAGGGTCGCGTGTTGCGACCCTAGGGCAAGTTCTGGGCTTCGGCCCAGAACTGAGAAACTAGAACTTAAAAAAAAAAAACAGAGAGAGGAGGATACAGGCCCATTCCGGGCCCGTGAAAAAAAAGGAAGCACAGGCCCAAATTGGGCCTGTGCAATTGAAGTAAGGGCCGCAGGTTATTACCTGCGGCCATAAAGAAGAAAATTGCCAATTTTGGCAATTTTGCGTTTATTTTAAACCCAATTTTAGAGATTTTAGACAAAATTTTACCCATTAAGAAATAAAGTGTCAATTAATTAAAGAAAATTAAAGATTCAATTTTATAAAATGAAGTTCCGGTTCTTTATTTTGTTTTATTCAATTATTATTGCACTTAATTGTCTTGTATTTTGAAATAAATTGATTGAAATAATATTGTTGCCAAAGTAACCTCTGTTGTGAATGTTAATTTATTTTAGAATATAAAGATGTGTATGTCTGTTATTTATGCGAATAATGATCGGCCCAAAGGAAAGTTATTATTTGGCAAAATAATGAGTATACTTGTGGTAATAAATATGTGACAATTATATGGTTTTCCATGTGAACAAAAGTCGGCCCAAAGGAAGGCTATTGTTTGATAGGATTTATTGTCAATATTTAATTACTACGCGGAGAGTACCACTTATAAGCTGATATTTTTAGTCCAAAGACTAAATATTTGTGTTGTGCTAGGTATCTTGAAATGGGCCCACCACCTAGCTTCGAGTTATTAGTTTATGTCATGTATGCATTATATGGTTTGATTATGTCATGTATGACATAAATATTGATTGTGAGTATGTTGTTTTACTTTGCTCTCTATTTAGTTTCTGCCACTGCTGTTAAATGTTTCTGCACAAATAAGTATGATCCCAATGCTGAATTGGACGAATTGTAAGATTTGGAAAGAGAACATGAAAATCATTCTCGGATGTATGGACTTAGACCTTGCGCTCAGGACATAGCGTCCCACTGCTACTACGGAAAATCCGAACACAGATAAAATTGAGAAGTGGGACCGCTCTAACCGCATGAGTCTAATGATCATGAAACGCTCCATTCCAGAGGCGTTTCGGGGCTCTATTACTGAGAGCACTAATGTCAAGAAGTTCCTCAAAGAACTTGAGCAATATTTTGCCAAGAATGAAAGCTCAGAAATGAGTAACCTTCTGAATAAACTAATTTCCATGAGGTATAAGGCAAAGGGAAACATAAGGGAGTACATTATGGAGATGTCTAACATCGCTGGGAAACTTAAGGCACTAAAGTTAGAGCTGTTTGAGGATTTACTCGTGCATTTAGTTCTCATATCTCTTCCTGTACAATACAGTCAATTTAAGGTGGGCTATAACATCCAAAAGGAAAAATGGACTGTTAATGAGCTCATGCCATATTGTGTGCAAGAAGAGGAAAGGCTTCAGCGAGATAAGACTGAAAGTGTTCACTTGGCAACAACCTCTCAGAATAAGAACAAAAGGAGAGCTATGGATACTGCAGATGGAATACCTCGGCAGAAGAAGAAACTGAAGAAGCAGGATAAGGCATTCACTTGCTACTTCTGCAAGAAGGGAAAGACTCTCGTTATGGTTTGTTTTGAAGTTAATTTAGCTTCTGTACCCAAAGATACTTGGTGGGTAGATTCTGGTGCTACTACTCACATTAGTATGTCTATGCACAGTTGCCTGTAAAGCCGACCGTCAAGTGATGCTGAAAGATTCATCTTTGTGGGAGATGGCAAGAAAGTTTCACTAGTGCACAAAGTACAAAGTGAAAATTAAATGAGAATTCTGCCACCCTATGGCACAAGCGTTTAGGTCATATTTCTAAACAGAGAATTTAGAGGCTTGTGAGTAATGGAATTCTTGGTCCCCTAGATTTGACAGATTTTCAAGTCTGTGTTGAGTGCATAAAGGGAAAACAGACAAACACAAGAAAATTAGGTGTCGATAGGGCTACAGACGTCTTAGAACTTATTCATACAGATATATGTGGATCATTCCCTACGCCTTCATGGAATGGTCAACAATACTTCATTACATTCATAGACGATTATTCAAGATACAGTCACCTATACTTAATACATGAGAAGTCACGGTTAGTGGGGGGTTTTCAAGGAATTCAAAGTCGAAGTTGAACTTCAATTAGGCAAGAAAATTAAGGTTGTCAAATCATATCGTGGTGGCAAATACTACGGCAGATATGACGGATCAGGTGAACAACGTCCAGGACCATTCGCTATCTTCCTAAAAGAATGTTGAATCGTCCCTCAATACATAATGCTGGGCAAACCTAGCATGATTGGTGTTGCTGAGAGATGAAACAAAACTCTTAAAGACATGGTGAGAAGCATGATTAATCATTCTTCCTTGCCTGAATCACTTTAGGGAGAAGCACTAAAGACTGCAGTTTATATCCTTAACAGGGTTCCAAGCAAAACAGTGGCCAAAACCCCTATGAACTATGGATTGGAAAGAAGCCCAGCATTAGGCATTTACATGTTTGGGGTTGTCCAGCTGAGGCAAGGCCTCTAAATGAATGAAAATTGGACTTAAGAACGGTCAGCTGCTATTTTGTTGGATACGCCGAACACTCTCGGGGCTTCAAGTTTTACAATCCCACTACTAGGTCCTTCTTCGAGATGGGAAATGTGAGATTCCTTGAGGATGTCGAGTTTAGGGGAGAAGATAAAGTAAGGAGTGTTGTCTTTGAGAAAGAAGATTTCATTTCTCTTCCCAATATTGCTATTGTCAATGATCAGGCTGTAATACCTGCCATTGTTCAAGACGTAACTCCGGAACAAGACAACAATGAGGTTCCCCATGCAGCGCCTATAGAACAAACTCAACAACCTCAAGAAATGCCATTAAGGAGATCCACTAGAGAAAGGAGAAGTGCGATTCCGGATGATTATATCGTCTTTCTCCAAGAACATGAAGATGGTGTAGGCTTAGAGGAAGATGATCCGATCAACTTTCAACAAGCCTTACAGAGTTCTAATGCTCAAAAGTGGATTGATGCCATGAAGGATGAGATGAAATCTATGAAAGACAATGACGTTTGGGATATTATCGAGTTGCCTAAAAGAACGAAACCCATAGGTTGTAAATGGATATTTAAGACCACCAAAAGGGATTCGAAAGGTAACATCGAAAGATATAAGGCTCGTCTAGTCGCCAAAGGATTCACTCAGAAGGAAGGCATGGACTACAAAGAGACTTTCTCTCCGGTTTCTTCGAAAGACTCTTTTAGGACAGTTATGGCACTTGTGGCTCATTTAGACTTAGAGCTACATCAGATGGACGTTAAGACAGCGTTTCTCAATGGCGACATTGATGAGACAATTTATATGGTCTAGCTAGAAAACTTTGTATCTGGAGATTCAAAGTCTATGGTCTGCAAGTTAAAGAAGTCCATCTATGGTCTCAAACAGGCTTCCCGTCAATGGTATAACAAATTTCATCAAGTTATCACTTCCTATGGTTTTGAGGTGAATGTGGTCGATGATTGTGTATATCACAAGTTCAGTGGGAGTAAATTCATCTTCCTGATTTTGTATGTCGATGACATATTACTTGTCAGCAACGATATAGGATATAGGCTTATTGCACGAAACCAAGAAATTTCTTACTAAGAATTTTAAGATGAAAGATCTTGGTAACGCCTCTTTTGTATTAGGAATTCAGATACTA